ATGTTGGTTTGTAGAATCCATTATTATCTGTTAAGAAGTTAATTTACATGTGTTTACCCTTTTGTTGTTCACAGTTCATATGTGTTACTATCTGTTTAATTTCAGAGCAATTTAACATGATCAATGTTCTTTGAAAAGCATAATGAGAATGTTTGTTAATGTGATTCTACAATTCTTTATGTGTTTAGCATCAAATCCTTTATCATAAACCAAGCATTCTTTAACATTAATCATAGTGAGTGAATATTTGATCTGACCCCTTTACTAGCCAAAGCATAAGTTGGATCAAACAATCAGGGCTCTTGGAAGTCTCCTCTCAGGGAGCTGCAGCTGGAGATCAGGACCCCCTCCTTTACCTTAGAGACACAGATGAGATGTACTTTTCCTTTGGCATGGAAGTACCTTAGGGCCATAGGAAACATTTCGTCCAAAGAGACAAGTTAGATCACCCTTCAATTTATTTTATAGACATTTAAAAAAATGACCACCGACAATACACCACTATTACACCAGACCCCATATTTTCACTTCTTTGAGAGCTATAATATTAATATTAGTGTCAAAGTGTACATTTCTGGGGTCAAGAAATCCATATGAAAAGGTCTCCAGACTAAAAAATATATAGTCTTCTCATTACCCTCACAATGGGGGTAAAATATGCACATTTAATGAACAAAATAAGTGTCAAAAAGGTGACTTTAAAAATGCCCCCCTAAAAAAGAAAAGAAAAAAAGAAAAGAAAAATGGTACAGCCTCTTATATACTCTATGGGCTCTATTTTCGTGCCTCGCCGGTGAAGCAACGGAGGGTGGCGGACCCCGCACAGTTGTATTTTCGTCTGGCAGAGCCCGGCGTACAGCCAGTTTGGTATTTTCGTGGACTGAGGCGCATGGAGGCGAGCCGAGATCCGCCAAGCTGGGCGTGGTGGCGTGGCAGGGGGAGGTGTCGACAGAATCAGCGGGCGCAGTGACATTTTTGTGCTCGCCACCGGCGTGTAAAGTGCGCTGAAAGCTCGCCGATTCAAACCTGGTCAGCTTTCAGCTCAGGCGGAGCGCAGCTGGTCTAGTAGTATTTTGGTAGACCGGCGGCGTATCGGCATACGTCACCGATGCCTCACCGGCAGGTTTCCACAGTGTCAGGCACATTTCAGTGCAATAAATAATCAACAACTAATAATCTGAGTCAGCACATACATTTAGATCTATATCGATATATTCTGATCTATATCTGATCTGATGAGCGCATTTGGCACGCGTTTGGACACACAACCTGACCGAATCAACACAGCTGAAACCGCATTAAATTAAATCAAATATCTAGTAAATAAACACACGATGAATTTAACTAGATATGTAATTCGTCTCCCTCCTTTTCTTTCTTCCTCTTCCTCTTATTTTTCGTGCAGCTCGACCTGGACATGTCTCCGTGTCCTCTCTCCATCCTGCTGCAGCTGCAGAACAGATGATTTGTTTCAGTGATCAGATGAGTTATTTACTTTAAGCCTACATACGAATATTATAATATTCAGTTTTGTGAGTCAAATTTATTTTATATGCCAACATCTATGAAAGAAAGAGCCAGGCCACGGAGCGCGATGCGTCATTTACGCACAGATGGTTCCGATTTTAATGCCATTTTTGGAGTTTATGTTGTGATCTGTGCGCTCAACCCACCTTTGTCACGTGAGGTTTGAATATATGCAACTTTATGTGAGTGTCTTTATTTGTGGAAAAGGGTGTTTGTCTTACCAGTGGGTCCAACATTACACACACCAAATCCATCTGCGCTCATATGAGAGAGTGTGGAGGACGCCCAATGCAGCGCTTACAGTGACACTTGTTGAGGAGCTGCCTTCTGTCGCCATCGTGTGGCATTGTTGTCTTCAGACATCTCTTGATCTCTTTGACTACTTCCCGAAAATAGTAATACGCCTCGCCGGTGGAGGATTTAAAGGCAAGGAGAGGAGCTTATGTGATTGGTGAAAACTGGTCTTGGCTGTGTTAAACCCACTCCACGCCCTTTCTCCTCCCTCACTACGACTTACGCCGCTGGGAGGAGCTGAGTTAGGGAGGGGGGATACTTACGCCGGGCTGCACCGCTCACCAAAATGTGCTTGGGAACGCCTAGTCGGCGCGGCGGTCCTGACTTACGCCGCGCCTGCGGTACGTCTCCGGCGAGGCACGAAAATAGAGCCCTATGTGTCTCTGTCTGACTGCATTTGTATCTGTCTGTATGACTGCTGAGTGTTACACCTCTCGTAGCCAGTTGCTGCCACAAAACATGAATTCTATACCAGGGTCTGTGACAGCTGGATGAAATCAGAGGTGACAGAAAATCTGAGACACTTAGAGGTTCAGTTTGAGGTTTGTATTACTTTCCTATTTAATACAGAAGATACTCAAGAGATACTCAAGAGAAGTTTTATAAGTGGTGGAGAAAGTTTACAGGAGAGTCCCAAGTGATCAGTGTGCGATGCAGCATCATGCCTTCGTCTGTGGGGCGCTGCACCTAAAAGCGCACAGATTAGGAACACGTTACGCCCGGCTTTTTTCAAAGCTGGGTAATGTAGTCTTTGGAAAGATTGATGCCAATCGATTCAGTATCTTCTCCCCTTTCAAATGACTACAGACATGGTTGACTTGTCTTTTTGGATAAAATGTTTCCTATGGCCCTAAGGTACTTCCATACCAAGGGAAAAGTAAATCTACATTTAGGGGAAGGGGTGGGGGGGTAAGTTACCCTGTTAAAACGTACATTTTATAATGAAATTAGCATATTTTACCCCCCGCTGTCATGGTAATTAATGATGCATTGGGTTTTTTGCATTGAAACCTGTTTAATTGAATTCCTAGACCCCAAAAATGTGCACTTTGACACCAATATTATGATTATAGCTCCAACAGAAGAAAAGATATGGGGTCTGGTGTATTAGCGGTTTATTGTCGGCGGCCATTTTTAAAATGGCTATTAAAAAAAATTGAAGGGTGATCTAACTTGTCTCTTTGGATAAAATGTTTTCTATGACCCTAAAGTACTTCCATACCAAAGGGGACATTTGTATCATGACTTGAAGTAAAATGTGTCTTAGGGCCCCAACTAGTTTTAGCACACTAGTTCGACTGGGCGTGTCACTAAAAAGATGCTTGTGGCTATGAATGAGACAGCAAATGTCGCTTTTTGCAGCGCCAGACAGATATGACAGATGCTCTTTGAGATTTTCCAAGACTCTAGAATTTTCTAAGCGAGCACACTGAACTGAGCTTGGCTGCTCACGCAGCCCGTCCTCCTCCGCACTGTATGAGGGGGACACCACAGGTGCCACACAGGCTACAGGCTCAACGAATTGCACGTCATCATTTTCATGAGTGGCATATTTTTTTAACATATTCATGTGACACACACGGGACATTTGCTTTCTGTCTCCACATCATAAGGACGACAGAACTTTGCCCCAAAAGAACCCACCACAGGTAACAGGACTAAAACTTTGGCTGTGTCTCATTTCAGAGACCGCATCGGGATAAGCGCGCTTAACGGCGCTTAGCTAAGTGCACTGCCGTTATGTGCCGTTAAGTACCCTTCCTGTGTCCCATTTCAGAGACCGCAACCATCGAACGGCACAAAATACTAAGCGCGCTTCAAATTCGGTCTCAAAACCACACTACGCCCGCCCCTTTTTCAAGCGTGCGTTTATGCACGCTTTCGTGCCGTCGGTATCCCAGAATTCTTTGCGTGCCACTGCACAACTTCACATTTCAGGTGAGAGGCTGGACTCGCTTGGAGATGCAGCGCGTCTTCAAAGAAAATACAAGAAATCCAAAAACAGCAGACAGTCAGCTCAGGCTGTATGAGAGCATGATCTCTGAACTCACTAGAATCTGTAAACCAAACATTATAGTATTTAGAGACGAACTGATCTGCTCTGTTACAACAATCAAAAACATTAGAAATAAGAAAGCTGACAAAACTACAGCAGAGGATCAGGACAACATTGGGTTTTTTTGTGTTTTTTTTTTTAAGATTTAGAGATTAAAGTTTTAAATTTAGGAGAATAAAGTCATAAAGTAAATAAAGTCATAAAGTTGCTTTTGTGGAGGGGGAAATGACTGAAGCTGGTCATCTGCAGGGTTATCTGTGGATGTATCAGCGGGTCATTCAGAGAGTTTTTGTGGTTTATTAAGAAACAATCAAACTGATGATCAACATTTGTCATCCAAAAGGAAGTCGAGCTCCGACAAGCACCATGTCTCTGACACCGACGGTAACCTACACCTGCAGAGACACTAACACTTTATTATGGCATATGGATTCATATCATAAACTAAAGCCCAATGTCATCCACGGATATTTACGGCTGCATTAACAGATATATCCTCAGCATATTCATTTCTGCCTACACAAAAGCAGCGATTTCCTTCTAGTACACCTGTTTTTTTTTTCCCCGTGGAAAAGACGTATTTCTCATATATTCTTTTTTAAGTCTTCATACTTATGACACTGTTATGCTGATGTGCCAAAGGATGAAGTATCTCCTTGTTTGTGAAACCTATACTGAAGCACAGTTACTTTAAATGCTTCATGGCCCTAATTTTAAAATAACAGGTTACGACTTTATTGTCATAAATTAATGACTTTATTCTCATAAATTCACAACTTAAATCTTAAGTCTTTAAAAAAATTCTCAATATGGCCCTCATAGGCCTTCATACAAAACAATCATTGGATGAATTTTGTGGGAATGATCTGTGTTTGTATATATCTACTGTTTTACAAGGTCGCACAATTAAAAAATAAATGCTGCGCTCCGCGGCTTTTCTTCAAGTCAGTCGTGACGCGAGCCTGACGGACCATCTCACCCCTCTGGTTGGGTCGCCAAATGTCCCCGCCCTCGGGCCCGCATCACGGCTGACTTGAATAAAACCCACAGATCGCAGCAGGTACAGGTGTTAACAAGCGCATGTGACAACTTCCAGACAATGGAAGTCTTGAGCATATGGCAAATGGCTTTTGCGATCAACGAAGAGGAGATGCTGCACCGCCGAGTAAGGCGGCGACGGAGGCGCCTTGTATATTATTTGATGAGAATGCGCGCCGAAAGTGGAGAGGTAAACCTGTTATCTTATCTGGCATTCAACAGGCACACAATAGTTGTGCCATTGTCACTCCCTGTGTATCACGTGAATTCCCCCTTTAATTCACAACAGTGCATGCCATGGAAATCTTCATAGGTGTCAAAAAATATTATTTCGTTTACTAACATCAGCTGAAAAGCCAACATTGTCTGTTAGTACATGAGACATTAACCTGCACAATTCACAATCATTGCAAGCAACATCCATGCCATGACCGTTCTTTCTCCTGCTTTATTCCTAACGCAGACCGGACCCCTGAACTGCAGGTTAAATACGGGGGTTCCGGTCCTCCAAAGGTTTTTCGCCGGCGACGACCCCAGGGAGGACTTCAGGCTGAGCAGAGAGTCCCTGGCAGTGCTGCTGGACCTCCTCCATCAGGAGCAGAGGCATGGATGGGGCGCCACAATAGAGACTCTGGTTCTCCTTTTTTGGCTGGCCAGTGGGGCATCATACCGGGTGGTCTCAAGGGTGTATGGGATGCCCCACTCCACTGTCCACCGCAGTGGCGGCTGCTGGTCTCTCAAGGAGGGGAAGCTCATTTTTTGGCCTACATCATAATTGTATTTGTTTATTTGTATGTAACAGAGCAGAGTCGCCAAACACAACGGCAGTCATTTTTAAAAAAGACTAAAGTCGCTGAGGATCGGTAAAGTCTCTGGAGCAGTTAAGAACAATGAAATGAATAACTTGGAAAATGCTCTGGTAGATGTTTTATTTTTCAAGATCGCTGATTCGCTTGTCTAGCTGTCAATCAAAAAAGGATTTCGCCTCAGACAACTCATCCAATCATGGATGCAGTAGCTCAGCGTCCGGGAGAAAGTTGGGACCGCCATCTCGTCATAGAACTCCAGAGACGCTGAGCGGGACAAAGCCCAGCATTTATCCAATGAGCGTCTAGTTTCACTGCTGGAACAACCCACTTTGAGCTTCCACATTGAAGTCAGCAGACGCTGAGCGTCCGGCTGTGTGAAGTGCTGAGGCGCTGCGAGGATGAATGAGAACGAAGTTGTGCCAGTTACCTGTGATTATCAGCTTCTTATCACAGTGTGATAAGAAGCTGATTCTGAACAAAAGATGAAGGCTTTCTAGCGCATATTTAGGTAATGAAATGTACACACAGCAGTACGTATTTCACCACCTTTTTCTTTTTTTTGGGGGGGTGACATTTTAAGGGAAGCTGAGCTTCCCTTGCAGTCTTAGAGCAATCGCCACTGGTCCACTGAGTTATGGAGGAGGTAGTGGCCATTCGCCACAGGGTCATCTACCTCCCGAGGTCCGCTGAAGACCTGGCGGCCGTAACTCGGGGGTTTGCAGGGCTGGCTAGGCACTGCGCTTTTCTCAAAGCTCCCAGTGCAATCAACGGCTGCCATGTACGAATTAAGCCACCAAGCGTTCCTGATGGTCACTGTTACATTAACAGGAAACTGTTTGCGTCCATCATTTTGCAAGCAGTCTGTGACCATCAGGGCCTCTTTATTGACACCTACGTGGGCTGGCCAGGGTCTGTGCATGACGCCAGGGTACTCCGGCACAGCCCACTGTACAGCAGAATGTCTACCCTCCTCCAGGGCATTTCATTCTCGCAGACAGCGGGTACCCGTGCCTCCAGCACCCACTCCCCCTCATCACTCCCTACAGGCTGCCGGTGCGAGGTGTGGCGGCCCAGCACTTTAACGGGCATCATGCCAGGGCACGCTCTGTAATTGAGCGTGCCTTTGGCATGATGAAGACCCGCTTCCGTGCCATCTTTTTAAAAGCGCTGGAGATCCGCCACACCTTCTTGCCACAGGTACATCATCACTGCACACAATATTTTTGTTACACTTAAGTAAATATTAATTAATTAAATAAATAAATAAAAACACGAAAACTTATTATATATTATTATACTTATATTGTTATATTTTTTTATTTATTAAAGGTCTATATACTTTATGTTTATATAAATATTCCTCTTAAATTCAGGTCATCACCGCTTGTGCCGTCCTGCATAATATCTGCCTGGGTGCCGGTGACACCATGGCACCAGAGGAAGATGTGCAGGACGGCATGCTGGGGGATGAGGCGGAGGACAGGCTGGAGGCAGTCAGTGGTGCCCGCTGGCGGGACAGATTGTCTGCAGAGGTGTCGGCCCTGGAGGAGGTAGACCACAACCATGTCTACCTGTAATCGGCAAATACAATTCATCTAAAGTTTCTCCTCTGTGGCACAGAATGTTTGTTGGTTACTGATCAGCTTTTTAGACCTCAGAAGATGCGACTTAAAAATTGTTGGACTCTGTTAGCCTACTATTGTCTCTCTCTTTAAAATAGGCATGGCAGCCGTCGAACCAGCCCTGCAAACCCGGACGATGTGGAGGACAGTGGAGACGTGCAGCCAAAACACCCAGACCACCCACATGATGTCCCACTGCCAGTAGACATCAGAGTCTCTATTGTGGTGTCCCATCCAGCCCAGCAGCACTGCCAGAGACTCCTGCTCAGCCTGGAGAAGAGGAGGCACCATGACAGGGCAGGCAATAGCCCAAATGTCCTGAGTTTCTTAAGTTCTGTTTATACAGTGGTGCCTGTTTGAGTTAGCATTTTGCCAATTTTTAACTCCGCCAAGGAGGTTGTGTTTTTGGTAGCGTTGGTTTGTTTCTTTGTTTCTTTGTCTGTTAGCAACTTTACGGAGAAAGTTACAGACGGATTGACCTGAAATTTTCACCAGAGGTGCGTCTCAGCCCCAGGAGGATCCCATTACATTTTGGTGGTGATCCGGATCGCCTTCTGGATTGTTAGAGTAATGTGTATAAAAGTTTATAGAAATTATCAGTAGCTTTAAATGTCTTTACCTTTTGCTTCTTAACACATGAGCAGACACTTGTGTGTTTTTCTTACATCTCTGAGCTTGCCTTCTTCCAGTAAGCAGATAAGCAGATGGGTACCTGTCTCCGCTGTGAACCGTGCAAGCTGTACCTGTCTCCGCTGTGAACAGTTAATCACCACAAAGGAGACTGTGAAATGTCAGCGGTCATCTTGACATCTACAGAAGAAGTCTGCACATGCTTACTCTAGTAAAATTATGTGTTATGAAAGTGCTTACGCTGCTGCAGATTGTTTCCCCACCCTTTAGTGTATGCAGCGTTTTGTAACTAGGGACCACCCTAAGGATAATAAAAAGCAAGGAGACGGCAAGGTACTCTTCAGAGCGGTATAAGATTGTAACTGAACGTATCTCTGTCCGTTCTCCTCGCGAGTAAGAAATCTAATACCATTGTCTTTCTCTTCTTTGTGTCTGGTCTCATTTTAAGCAGGTTGTAGACCCAACAGGATCCAAGAATTTTTTGAAGGATTCTTTATCATTGTGAGATAGGGCACATTTTGGAATTTTTGCATTTAACTCTATAAAAATGTCCAGAGTCTTTAGTAAAAAAAATTACACAAAAGGATCTCAATGAGTTTTATGAGGTGTCAAAGGTTGATCCTGATCCAGACAAAATTCCGGATACTGTGATCCAGAACACACAAAAATAAGGGTGTTGTTGGAATTTTCAATGCTGAAAGATAACCAATGAAGATACAAGGAAGTGTACGCTTACAAATATCGCATAATAAATCATGCATTTATGTATCTAATATGAGCTTTGTTGTTTTAGAAACATTATGGACAGTGAACATACCAGTTTAAACACATAAAAGTTAATAAAAGACATGTAACAGTTAAAGTTTTGGTGTGAATCGCAATATAAGGGGGGACATGAGCTGCTTGGCTGAGGTCTGCGCTCTCCGAGTGCTTTTCTAGTTTGTATGTTGTTGACCTCAGTATTTTAATCCATTTTCATTTTCCTTACCCTTTAATAAAAAGATATAACTCTGAAATGAAAACTCTGAAATCTTCATTATGCGAGGATATGTAGTGGTCGTACTTGTGTTGTGTAATTATTTCAGGAGGGAAACCGTACTTCTGTGGTTGGCACCTGCCGTTTATTCAGCATCTGGCAGAATATTCACACAGTCAGGTCTTATACAAGACATGCGGCCAGTCTTTCACTGCAAGCATAAAATTACAACATAAGTACCCTCTTAAATATGGAAATTAAAAGATAATTAAAACAAATAATCACGGAGATCACAACATGTGGACTTACCAGGCAAGCAGTGCAGGACAACTGTTGCTGCATACCTGGGTTCACTTCCCAAATCCCCAGGGGTGTTGCATTTGAGGGCTGCAGGGAATCTGACATCAGTACTAATCATCCTTAATAAAAGAACCCAATGCGAGGCATGGCAAGTGAAATCACTAAACATTATTTGTAACTCCGTTACAGATGCACCGGATGCTGTCTGGCCACCCTGTTGCCAAAACAGCTTGAGGAGGGACATATGAATAGACTGGAGACGGTGTAAGCAACTTAGAATTCTTTAATAAATTAAATGCCATTATTAATGTAAAAAAATACAAAATGTCCATTCAAATTAGAAATTCTTAAAATAAGTGTGAATATAATAGTAACATAAACAAAAACAACTCAATTATGGTCAACCATTTTCTCGAGTAAGGCCAGCATCCGGTCCATCCGCTCCTGGCTTCTGGCCTCAGCTTGTTGCTGGTTTCGAATGTCCTCTCTTAGCAGAGCCAGGAGTGGGTCCGATGCTGGCCTCCTCTTTCTTTTCCTCCCCCTTGGGTGAGGTTGCAGTTCATCTTCGTCCTCCTCCTCCTCCTCCTCCTCCTCCTGCTGCTGCTGCTGCTGCCTGGCAGGTGCAGTGCCACTTGGCCCTGGTTCATCCTCTGGAAGTGAGGCAATCAGTAGTGGGGGGTTTATTGATGGCCTCTGCCCCAGCATCTCATCCAAAAGGATGAACCACGGCAAAGTGGCAGCTGTCACCTCTCCCCCTGCCCCAGCCCCTGTGGGACACTCTTTGCATTCCTGAGAAAAAGAAAAACTGTTTAATAACTTGCGGGGGGGGGGGGGGGGGGAACCACCACATTCCTCATGACCCAATGTTCAATGTTAAGCAGCATCATAAAAACCTTCACATACTTTATATTTTCTTTTTAGATTCTCCCACTTCCGCTTTGCTTGCAGGGGTGTCACTTGGCCCAAGATCTGGAGCTCTGTCAGTACAGCTCTTGCCACAAAGAGAAGTGAGACAAAAGGTTAATATATGTCACATTCACACACAAGTGTTCATAATCAGTCACATGACCTATAATTTAACATACTATGGGCAGATATAACTTCTTGAGCATTTGGTGTTCCTTACTGCCATCCAGCAGCAGCTGAATTTCTGGCTCCGGTGAAAAGGTGCTCCCTCTCCCCCCAGAGCCGGTTGAATTTGTCCGTCAGCTCTCTTGTCCCTGCAAAAACATAAGTGTGAACCTTTTAATGTGTGACTTATTCCAAGTGTGCATCTGAATGGATAACAATGCAGGCACACAGTGCCAACATTTGTATTTTGAATCCACACATGCATGTGAGATCAATTGTCCAGGCTGATGGATGGCCATCGTGCACTTCATAAAGAGGTTTGACCTTTACTCCTTCTTTATCTGAGCTCACTGCTGATAAAGCAGTGGGCCCTCAAAACTGTTAGCAAAACCCTCAAAACTGTAAGGGTTTTCCAAATATTAATAATAACTCTAATAACATCATTACTTTTACAGCACTTATCTAAACAAGGTTGCAATGTGCTCTATATGTAGTGTAAATACAAACGAACAAAAAAACAAACATAGGCTACATGTCAGATTCCGGTATGACATAAACAGTGCTATAACACACACCACAGTGATTTAGACCTGAGTTGTTCATGTTTCTGCACTGTACTTGCAGCATCTAGTTTGCAGCATATTTGCCCCATACACATTTATGTCATCCCCTGGCAATACCTTACACCTGGGGAATTGAAGTGGATGTCAAGTACCAACACTACAATTTGAAACAGTCGGCATATGCGTTGCCTGCATAGCTTCAACAGGGCAAAAGGGCTGATTTAACACACTCGGGCATCACCTGCAACCATCTAATCATCTTTTACAAACATTTTAGAAATATTCACAATGTCCTTTAAAGGCTTTGCTTCACCTGTTGACATGAAATTAAATCCAGTACTTACATGTAAAGGCGGGGCCGCCGGCTTTGCCTGCCATGATGCAAACATCCTTGATGTGTGCAGGTGCGCTTTTATGCGCGTCTGACGTCTCACCCGAACGGTGCACCTGTGCAGCGGCACGCAAAGCATTCTGGGATACCGACAGCACGAAAGCGTGCATAAATGCACGCTTGAAAAAATGCTAAGCGCGCTTAGCATTTCTTAGCATCTCATGCCAAATGGGACACCGTTCGAGCCGTCATGACGTCATGCACGCTTCAAATGCACCGTTCGACAGTGCAGAAGTGCACTTAGCCCGATGCGGTCTCTGAAATGAGACACAGCCTCAGTCACCTGGCTGAAAGTGGAGAGTGAGAGTTTTCCTGTCATAATGCTCTTTCATCTTGGACTGGGCCACGGAGAGGGAACTACGGGCAAACTCACAAGCACTGTGCAATCTCTTTCTGAAAGAACTCACATAATCTAAGATGCTGTGCGCAGGGCTGGGATCGCCTGCAAGCCATCTCTCACACAGCAGACGAAGCGGACCGTGCACAGTGTGCCCGAAAACCAGCTCAGCCGCACTAAAACTGAGCGACTCTTGTGTGGTTTCACTGATAGCATCACGGATCTCACGGATAGCAAACAGCAGCAGTGGTAACCCCTCATCCCACTCCCTGTTGGACTCAACACAATATTTACGCAGCATGGATTTGAGCGTTTGATGGAACCGCTCCAGTGCACCCTGGCTCTGTGGATGATACGCACTGGAGACGTTGTGCTTAATGGACAACTTATCCAACCTTGTCAAGGCGCACCGACCCACCAGATCCCTGAGGTCTGCTGACCGGATGGTTTTAGATGTGCCGAGAACCCAGCTGAAAAGCAGAGGGGATCGGGCATTCGCGGTTGCTGCTCCCACTCTGTGGAATGCCCTGCCTCTGTCTGTGCGTTCTGCAACTAGCCTCACCTCCTTCAAAACGCACCTTAAAACCTACCTGTTTACCCTAGCCTTTGGCTGAGTTGTCACCTGCTTTTACTCGCGTACGCTTTTCTTTTATTGTTGTCATTGTATGTTGCACTTTTAATGTTGCCATATTTATAGCTTTTATTATTTTATGCTTTTTCTTTTTCTCCTGTAAAGCACTTTGTCTGGCCTGTCCTATAAAGGTGCTATATAAATAAACGTGACATTGACATTGACATTGACAACTCGGACATAACCTGCACAAATACCTTAGACATAAAGTTGGAGCCTTGGTCGGTTTGGATGCGCTTAGGCAACCCAAAGATGGAGAAAAACTTAACCAGGGCTTTAACCACAGCTTTGGCTCTAAGTGAACGTAATGGAACGGCCTTGGGAAAGCGAGTGGCAGTGCACATTATGGTGAGCAGGTATTGGTGACCGGACTTGGTTTTTGGCAGTGACCCTACACAGTCTATGATTACATGTTCGAATGGCTTGGAGATCACTGGGATTGGATGTAAGGGGGCCGGAGGAATAACCTGGTTTGGTTTTCCAGTCATCTGGCAGACACGACAGGAACGGCAGTACTTTGCAACATCAGATTTTAACCCCGGCCAAAAGAAATAACGGAGGATCCGTTTTTTTAACCCCTAAGTGACCGGACAAAACATGATCATGAGCCAAACTCAGTACCTGCTGGCGAAACTCTCTCGGCACAACCACCTGCGTAATCGCATCACACTCAACACCATCCGTCAGGGACCATCTCCTCATCAAAACACCATCATCAAACAGGTAAGACACAAGTTTTGTTTTTTTCTTTATTTTGTGCAGCGGAGATCCACCAGTCCACCAGTGTGCCATTGGCTTGCTGCGCCTTAATTAGTTCCTCTTTACAAACAGATAAAAACAAATTCTCTTCCAGCTGCACATCAACAGACACGGGAACACTTTCATTTTCTGGAGAGGGAACTGTGCTATCTGGAACACTCAAAAATGAATCAGACAGATCCGTCACTTCTTCAAACTTACGCGCTTGGGCACGCGTCACGACGCACAAGGGGAACACAGGCGGCATATCAGGCTCAACAGGGCAGACGCACACATCAGCAGCGGGATCGTCCGTCACCTCAGGACTGCTGGGGAACACTTTACCTCCTGCCAAATCATTCCCGAGGATGAGGTCAACCCCCGTAATCGGCAGCTGATCGCGCATGCGAACCCGCACCGGGCCAGACACTAAGGGGGAGAAGAGATGGATGTTATGAAGCGGCACACAAATTACACTCATTTTTAATCCCCACAACAACAAATCAGACCCACAATATGACATATGAGAAAACGGCATGACTCTACGTCGAACCACAGAATGTTTTGCCGCAGTGTCCCTTAAAATAGTTATCGGGACTCTGTCTGCCTCACACCCAGACAGCGACACGAAACCTTCTTTAGGCAGTTGATCAGTCGGCCGTTCTTGCTGGTGAAACACTGTTTGTGACTGGATCAGTGCCACTGGTGATGGACTTTTAATTCTAGCCTGTTCTTTCTGCTTTAACACCTGGGAGACGGCGATGAAGTGACCGGACTGGTGGCAATAAAAACACAGCCGTTTTTTTCCATTGGCAGTTTCACTACGCCGGGACAATCTTGGGGATCTCCGTTTATTTTCAACACGAGCTGGCGGATCACGGCGCACAGAGGACATGAACACACTTTTATGAGTGAGCGCAAACTCATCAGACAGGACTGCAGCCTCACCCTCAGATGCATGGCCTGCACCTCCATCTCCTTCAGGCGGAGGGCCAGTTTGAGCTCCTCAGCCGACATCCCCAGCAACACAGGAGGGTCAGAAGGGGCGGCAGTGACTGGTGGCACTGTCTGTGGGGGTGCCACATCAGCCTTTCCTGCATCTCCTAAGGGCAGCAAACCTCTATCCACAAGCTGACCAGTTATAAGCTGAAGCAGCTCCTCCTTCTTAGGATTCGCTGCTACATCAATATTATATTGATTTGCAATGAGCAACAAATCAACTTTTCTACATTTCTGTAGCTGCTCTAAAGTGGGATTCTTCACAAAATTTTCCAAATTAAACTCCATCGTGCAAAAGAATATACCAACCAGAATTATCTTAAATACACAACACTAGTACACAAGCCCAAGTAACAATTGAATCCTGGACGAGCCCCCATTTGTTACGCCCCACCCGAAGGTGGCCCTATGGGGCTAACAACAATCCTCACCTTTCGACTCATTAAATTAACACAAAGACCTTTAAAAGTTTAACACGTGATTTATTGTGACAAAATAACAAAACTGCAAACTAGACACAAAGCACCCACAACACAAATGAGAGGCAGTTCCCCACCAAATGCCTCTCCAGACTGCAGGCAGCTCTCAGTCTTTAAAGGCCCAGCACCAGGTGAGTCTGATTAGCACTCAGTGATTTCACCTTGGCAGCTATTGAGAGACAAAAGGGGGAAAAACACACACCAAACAAACACACAGCCGTAACCACAAATAAAATGTTATTTATCAAAAAATTCATCAATTCTGATCCCTCTTCATATTATTTACAGGTGGCAAGGCTAATTAGATAGTCTATGAAAATGTAGCCCCACAATGCTTTGGCATAGACATCAATAGCTACGTTTACATGGAGCCAAATATTCCGAATATAATCGGATTAGAAGCCCAATCGGAATGAAAATGCTCCTTATAAACACCTCATTCGGAATAAACAGGCCCATTCCGAATGGAATTTCATTCCGATTCACAGGGGTAGAATTTTCCTTTTCCCATTCCGATTAAAAGCAAAATCCTGTCATGTAAACGGTGAATCGGAAAGTTGTCAGGCTGGGTTCTGTCTGCGCATGCTCTGTCCTGATGTAAACAAGCAGTGACGTATGACTCACATGGAAACATGATGGCGGCTTCCAAGCAGAGCACGATGCACTGGTCTGCGTCGGAGATCACATGATCAATCAATCACGTGATGTTTGAAGGTATCACGTGTCTGTAAATAGCTGTTCCGATTGAATGCCGTGGCACATGTAAACACCAGATCAGAATAGATCTCTTCCATGTAAACAGTTCGCCTGGGAGCTTCAATCGGAATGATTATAATCCGAATGAGAAAAAAGTCTGTATGTAAACGTGGCTATTGACTAATGAGATAATTACTTGCATCTGAAGTGATGGGGGCTTGTTGTCCTTATTGATCGTGAACACAAATTTAAGATATGTAGCAAAAGCAAAAGTAGATGCATTGGATGACCTTACTCTATGTACCTTACTATACTGTACTGTACTTACTTTTATTATCTATTACTGGATTAGTGATAAGGATGGCATAATAATGGAATATTTGTTGTTTGCATTGTTTGCATGATTTGTTTTGCAGCATGGATGAACAGAAAGGCATCGTCCTGGGTAAAACCTATTAGGTACAAAACAAAGCGATAGAGTTCACACACTACATTGCAGAAGCAGAGAGAAATTGAATCAGGGAGAAGCTAAAAAAGACCAGATTTCTGTCCATAATGTCCGACGGGTCCACTGATAGCGCGGTGAAAGAGGAGGAGCTGGTATATGTGAGATGGAGTCACAATGGCAAGATTGAGAGCAAGTTTGTTGGCATCCAGACAGTAGAGAAGGCAGATGCTGCACACATAACCAGCATAGTAAGGACCATCATGGAAGGTATTTGCGAAGAGTGGGAGAGCAAGTTGGTCACCTTTGCAACAGACGGTGCTGCAGTGATGGTGGGAGTGAAGAATCGGTATCCACTATATGTACCAGATGGGTAGGACACGCGCCCTACGCGCCCTGGACCCCTTTCCTGCAGGGCTTTCAGGGGTTTGTCCAACATCTGGAACAGGTAGTGGCAGTGTGACAAAATTTGTGACTGTGACAGTGTCTGTCAACATGTTAACTAATAAGGGTATTTGAAAAGCTAATAAATGTGTTGTATGTGCTTAGTCTTGATGTGTTTCAGATTCAATTTGGTGAAGCTGAAAATGTCAGGGGAGTCCAACAGGCCAAGGCCAAAAAGTACCACTCTGCTGCCAGGGGGGCTGTCTTAGGCCCGAACTACACGAATGCGGATATATTTCAAACCGCACATATTTATGTCCGATTAGGCCTCCCTACCACACCAAAACGGGAGTTTGGAACACTCAAACCGGATAAATCTGAATCCGAAAAAACAAGTGGAGAAATTAAAAAATATCCGTATCCCGTATCCGGAGTGGATTTGTGTGGTTGGACTTTTACGGATCGATGACGTCAAACCACAGCTCGCGCATGCGAATTAAAAAGAAAAACAACAACAACAACGATGGCGGACAGACAGGGTATTCTTTACGTTTGTTTTGCCCTTTTGGGGCTAATTTCAGCCTTGCAAGTGAACCTTGTTTTATACAATTACATCCACCAGTCAGCCAGCTCACAGAAGCGTCTGCTGCGCCCAATACTTTTATTGGTCACATGGTCCGTCACATGGACCCGACGCACTAGCGTAGCTTCCGCAAACAATGCATGACGCATCACGCTGTTACGATTCATCCGCCAATCAGGTAGCTTTGTTCCTGAATTTTTTTTTTAAGCGGCACCAGATAGGATTGAGTTTGAAGGCTATGTGTGGATGCAGATATTTTTGAGAACGAACACGTGTGGACAGATACATTTATTTAGACGGGAGTACAAAAATATCCTGATAAATAAATATCTATATATGTGTAGTTCAGGCCTTAATCTGCTTCTGTGGATTCCTGCATGATGTACTAATGCACCTGAGCAGCCTGTCGGCCTCTCTCCAGAGGTCCACCATCACCATCCCAGAGTCTCACAACTGTCTAAATGCAACACAGGCAGTCCTCAAAAAGTACAAAATCAGGTATGACCATTTAAAATTAGAAAATAAAATACTTGACGCTGACTTTATCAATCAGAGAGGGGTTGCAAAGTTGTATTCTTATAGGAATGTAAAAATAGGCCCTTTTTCACCAGAGAAGGTCCTGTGCTGGCCAGAGTAACAAAAGGCATGAGGGATGACAACAACAACATCTATGAGGGAGTTTCTCTGACAAGCAAAGAAAGGGACAGAGAAAGGGACAACCAGAAAGGGACAACCAGAACCTTATTGCCTCAAGGGATGATCTGTTGGACAGGCTAGTGAAGAGTTTGACTGACAGGTTCCAGGATGTTAGTGTAGGTGTGCTGTGTGCCACCAAGCTTGTCAGCTTTGCCAACTGGCCAGAGTCAGGAGATTCAGCAGCAGGTGTTTTTATATTAATCAAATCAAATCAAACTTTATTTATAAAGCGCTTTTCCAACAGAAATGCGACTCAAAGTGATTTACAAGTTAAAAACAAAGACAAAAACAAAAAACTATCCCAGGTGCCCCCTCACCCCCACCTACACACACACATACACACATACACACACACCCCCACATACACACAGAAAGAGAACGGGCATGAGGCTGAGTACAGATGAACCAGTTGAGAAGGCGCCATCAGAGGAGCTGTCAGCACCAGGAGCAGCCGCAGGACACCGACACAGGGCCAGCGGAGGGATGTGTCAGACAGCAACCGCCACAAGGAACCCCGTGGCGACCCTGTGACCACAAGCGGCCACTGCTCCCGGTGCCGAGGGCTCCCTCAGAGGAAACACTGGGGGTCCCAAAAATGATAAAAGGATAAAAACAAGTAAAAACTAAAATATGAATAAAACACAGACCTAAGATCAACCAAGGCTAACAATAATAAATGAGGATAAAACAAATAAACATCAATTAAAAGCTAAGCTAAAAAGGTGGCTCTTGAGCCTGCTCTTAAAAACATGAACGTTCTCTGCGGCCCTGAGGTCCTCTGGCAGGCTGTTCCATAGACGAAGGCCGTAATATTGAAAAGACGCCTCACCGTGAGTATGTGTCCTGACTTTTGGAATGACTAGGAGCCTGCTGCCAGAGAAGCGCAGGGTCCCTGAAGGTAAAAGTGGTTCTGAAAGATAAGAAGGCAAAAGACCATTAAGACATTTCAAAAAAAGTAAAAGAACCTTAAAATCAATCCTAAAACACACAGGGAGCCAATGCAGTGATTCTAAAACCGGCGTAATGTGGGCACGCCTCCTGGTCTTAGTCAGGACATGTGCTGCTGAATTTTGTAATAATTGTAGGCCTGAAATATTTTTTTGGGGAAGACCAGAAAGCAGGGCATTACAGTAGTCCTTACGACTGGTGATAAAAGTATGCATTAACGTCTCCGTGTTGGCCTGAGAGAGAATGTGGCGGACTCTGGCGATGTTCTTTAGGTGATAAAAACCTATTTTTGTTGTGTTCTTAATGTGTGGACTAAAAGTCAGCTCAGAGTCAAAAATGACACCCAGGTTTCTCACTTGTGGTGATGGATTAAAAGACAGTGCTTGTAGTTTGGGTAAAAGTTTCTCTCTCTAGCCCTCAGGACCGGTGACTAAAACCTCAGTTTTGTCCTGGTTAAGCTGGAGAAAGTTCTCTGCCATCCAGGATTTGATGTCTAAAATGCAGTTAAAAAGAGCATCCATTGGCCTGGTGTCATCAGGAGACACAGAGATGTAGAGCTGCGTATCATCAGCATAGCTGTGAAAGTTGATTCCATGTCTCCTGATGACACCGCCAAGAGGGAGCATGTACAGGTAAAAAAAGCACAGGGCCTAAAATCGAACCCTGGGGTACACCACATGTAATTTTATGGACTTTGGTGGAGCACGTGTCTACACTGTTATGACCCGGCCTAGGGGTATGCCGGACGCAACATAAAGTGCTCCTTCCTTTGCCCCAACTCCCCAAGAAAACAAACAATCAACCAGAATTTGCAGTCTTAAATTAATTTATTGTTTAACATAAATGGTAGTCAACTTCAGGGTGGGCACAGGCCAAAACAACAAACAAAACCTCTTTTATTTAAAACTATCTTACCTAACAAACAAAATGGTAGTAAATAAAATACAGGGGGTCTTACCTGCCTCCCTAACCCAAAACACGAGAAAAGTCTGTGAAATCAAAATAGCTGCCCACCCCTACCTACCAGACTGCTCTTAAAACAACTTAAACTATTTGTCATGAAGAAAAAACAAAATTCACAACGTTTCCACGATTTTCACACAAAAAGAGCCTCCACGAAACACAGGTCTGGCTGGGAGTCGAGACAAAGGAAATGAGAGAGAGAGCTCCTCCAGCAGTCACCCTTTTCACAGCTTCCCTCCTCAGTTGCTGTCCAATCAGGCCAGAGTCCTCTCCTGAAAACAAAACAGACACACAGGAACAGCACCTACCACAGGTAGGGAGGGTTAACCACAAACAACATGTGCTGATGAAAAGACAAACAGGAAACATATGACCCCAGGTCATAACAACACTTACCATGAATGTCCTGTCTGTCAGGTAGGAGGTGAACCATCTGTGCACAGCACCTGAGAGGCCAAGGTGTTTTAGGCAGTTTAAAAGAATAGTGTGGTCTACTGTATCAAAGGCAGCACTAAGATCAAGCAGAACCAACACTGTCACCTTTTGTGCATCATAATTGAATCTAATATCATTTAAAATCTTTACCAAGGCAGTCTCAGTGCTATGGTTCACCCTAAAACCAGACTGACACTTTTCAAGAATATTATGATTATCTAAAAATTCTTTAAGTTGGATAAAAACAAGTTTTTCTAAAATTTTGCTTAAAATGGTAAGTTAGACACTGGCCTGTAATTGTTTAAATCATTAAAATCTAAATTGCTCTTCTTTAGCAGGGGCCTCACCACTGCTGCTTTAAAGGCAGCAGGAAATACCCCGTCTGAAGAGAGCAAATCATCATGTTTAAAAGCTCATTTCTAAAAGAATCATAAAATAACTTAAAGAATGAGGTTGGGACAGGGTCTAAAAGACATGTGGTGGGCCTCACTGAGAAGAATGTGGTGTGGCTGGTGAGCTGTGAGGACCCAGAAGCAGACACGGAGACAGAGATCAACTTAAGGTGTAATTTAATGTCCAAACAAGGGTTGTAAATGCAAAAAGAGGAAGTCCGGTAGGCTGGTAGGCTGGTTGGCTGGCTGTCGTGTGGGCTGGAGACACTGCAGGAAAAACCAGAGGAGAGGGAGGTAAGTAAACATACAATGAATCAGGATCAGAGTTACGATTTCAAATTCAAAGAAAGAAGGCCAGGAGACACGTCTATACCACATGGAAGTGAAGACAATACTCAGGCGTTGAGACTGAGGGATGCTGGCTTCTTAAAGTGCCTTGATTGGAGATGTGGAGCAGGTGTGTAGTCTCACTCAGCCTCAGCGACCGGGGGAGGGGAGGAAGCTCTAAAGCCAGACCAGGCAAACAAGGAAACACAGGAAGTCCAGCCAAAATAAAACATGAGGAGGAGGCGTCTCACCACAGAGAAAACTTTATCCAGCATCTCAGTATTAACCAGAACAAAACTGTCCAGTGTTTCCTCGGGTAAAGACAAACACTCAGATGCGTTAAAAGGAGTAGTTTGACATGATAAAATGTTGCATCTAATAGTGTCTATCTTCCCCATGAAGTGGTCTGCAAGTTCCTCACAGAGGGAGTCAGAGGGATTAAAATTACGTTTACTAAAATCAGGGTTTAAAATGCTATCAATTGTTAAAAAGAGAACTTTGGGGTTATTTTTGTGGTTTGTGATTATGTTGGAGAAGTAATTGTTTCTTGCAGTTCTTATGGCAGTGTTGTAGATTCTTTGTTGATTATTGAATAATTGATGATTTATTGTTGTTTTGTTTTTTCTCCATCTGCGCTCTGCCACCCTGCACTGCCTTTTGAACTTTTTAAGCTCCTCATTTCTCCATGGAGGTATGGATTTGGGTCGGATATTTTTTGTTTTCAGTGGAGCCACCAGTTCAAGGGTTGTCTTCTGTTAAAATTGTCTGCAATAAAATCACAGGGGGCAGGTAAAACAGTTGGAGGACTTTTATCTAAAACATCAATAAAATTTGCAGCCACTTCAGGAATCAGATGGCGCTTCCTCGCAGTTCTTACCGAGGTCTCCTGCTGGATAAAACTGGTGACATTAAAAAACACACAGTACTGGTCAGAGACAGCCAAGTCTACAACAGAGGACACACTGGTGTCCTCTGTTGTGAGTTGGCTGTGTGACGTGTTGAATAAAATCCATATAATTCAGAACATTTAAAAACTCTGCGGAAATGTGATCAGAGGAGTTATCTATGTGTAAGTTAAAATCACCAGTTAAAACAATCATGCTGTAGGAGTTGTGTAAAATTGATAAAAACTCAGCAAATTCACCAGTAAAAGCAGTGCATTTCTTGGGTGGTCTGTATACAGTGACACACAGGATAGGGGGACTGCTAAAAACAATTGCACCGTACTCAAAAGTGGTATATTTATCAAATAAAACAGATCTGGTGGCCAGGGTGTTTGAGGTTAAAGCTGCTGTGCCACCTCCTCTTCTCCCACACCTAACAGAAAATGCAAAGTTAAAGGGGCCATGGCATGAAAAACTGACTTTGTTAACGGGAGGGGGGTGCATATCAGGGATAGAAAACCGCTACAATCCCCCCCAAGTTCGAAAAAATTCCATCCAGTCATTTTTTGATAAACACACCGGATCCGCGCCAGTTTACCGGATCCTCCCGTATTTTAGCCGCTCGCTTCTTCCCCAACAACTCCACCGGCGGGGGACAAAATCCCCCTCCGGAGCAGCATGAAGCTTTAGCATTTACCCGTGCAGTGACGCGCCTCTTTTGGCTCAAATACGGGACGTCCCGGCTAATGCTGGACGGTCGGCCATCCTATTAATTAGCAAAGGCTTCAGAGAAGTTTTAGAGCACCAAAATCTTACAATGTAGCAGAGCTCTGGTTGTAATTTTTTCTACATTCATATCTTCCTCCTTAAGCGTGACCCTCCTGGCGGCTTTGAATAATACATAGGATGTGTCGACGAGGTCGCTTCAAGTCGCGTTTGGTCTGAACGCGGCTAAGAGTTTCTTCCGGAGCCTCTCCCTCTGGGTCAGACTCTGGCTCGAACTGGTAGGGTTGTACGAGCGATCTTCTTGCAGCCATGACCGAGCCAGTGTAAAAGTTAGCACATGGCTATCGGAGCACAGCCACAGCCCCTTCCAGAGAGATGGGTGTAAAGTGGACGTGGCTTAGGTGCAGCTCATTTCATTAAAGAGACATGGCCCAAAACGGAGGATTTTGAGCGGAGCTGTTTTTAGCTGATAAAAAGAGCACTAAAATAATTGATCCAAACCGAATTTTGACCGAAGGACGTCACAGACATGCTTTTAACACACCAGGGGACCATGGGACCTTTATAATTAGGTGGGGAGGCCTCAGTGAGAACAACTGGTGCATCCGCACCCAGCCATGTTTCAGTTAAAAACAAACAGTCCAGTTTGTGATCTAAAATCAGGTCATTGACAATAAAATACTTTTTCAGCAGAGAGCAGACGTTTAAAAGGGGCATTTTGATGGTAAGTGGCAGCTGGTTCACAAGGTGTTGTGAACCTAGACTGTTTGTGTGCAACCTATCTCTTCTAAAGAAGGCAGAGCGTAGCCAGAATAAGTCAAAGTTCGGAATAAAAATTAAATTTAGCGCTCTGCACTGAGTTTGCAGCCACTCATGCAGGCTCAGGAGCCTACTAAAGCACCCCGATCCCTGATCCAGTGTAGGAATTGGGCCAGAAATGAAGACAGTTCTTCCACTGGCCTGCAGCAGTTCAAAGAGCTCAGTAAAATCCCTTTTTGTAACTCCAGATTGTTGCCAGCTTGTGTCATTTGTGCCAACATGGACAACAACCTTCTTCACAGACAGGTGGTCTGCAAGCAGGCCAGGGATGACCTGGACTATGTCTAACACTTTAGCTCCTGGAAAAGAGAAAGTTACAGCCATCTTTGATATTATATTCCTCATAATAGAATCTCCGATTACCATTGTGGACAGAGGCGGCGTCGCGGAGGGCTCCTTATTGGGCCGGTGAGGGCTGCAGCAGGGGTGCCCCGGCGGGCTCTGTAGGTGTACCTCCAGCCTTGACAGGGGAAAAAGGTCCGGCAGAGTGTCTTCTGGACACCGCCTCCCTCAACAGCCGGCTTCAAGAGGATGATGCGGATGTAGGGACCCAATTTCCTGGTTGTTGCCCCAGCGGAGGAAAATCCTGGATGTCCAAAATCTCGAACCTGTTGGCCAGCGGGATATCCTGGGATGACGGAGAAGGAAGAAGAGACAAGTGCGCTGTGCTGCGTCTATCCCTCCCTACCGCCGTCCAGGGCTCCGGTTGACATGGAGTGAAGTTCAGTGGTTGACAGCTGGTCGCTCCATGCTGGTTTGCAGCTGGCCGCATCTCTGCGGAGAGGTGGAAGCGCGAAGCACCGGCTGAGGCTTTAGGTTTCGCTCCCAAAAGAGCCCACGGATTATCGAGGTGGCTCGACACAGTCGTTGGCAGCGAAGCAGTAGATGTAGCCACAGTGGAAGCAGCAGAGGCCCCGGGAAATGTGGAAGTTACCTCCATAGAGGAAGACGCAACAGGGGCTGTGTCCTCCAACTCCAACTCGGCACTTGAGGAAGCCGGTGCCGCTCCGAGGATTATTGTGTCCAAGTACTTCTCGGTGTCCTGGATCTGGTATAGTGTTGAAATTCTCTGCTCCAGCTCGCAGACTTTGCTTTTAAAATCGGCACAGCTTTGACAGCCAGGCGATATGGTGAGTGGAGCCATGGCCCCCTGAGTGCAGTGCTTGGTTATCCAAGAATATTAGGATCAAGTGAGCCAAAAACAAGAAAGTCCTCCCACACACAAGAGATGGTTAAAAATTAAAAGTATGTCAAAATCTGGTAAAAATAGATACTTAAAACTGGTTAAAATCTGCTAAAACCGTTTAAAATCTGCTAACACTTAGCCAAGTGGTAGAAGCAGCTGGGAGGATTTCAAACAGCACACCGACACACGCCGACATATTAAGTACTAAGTTCAGCGTCATGATCATAATTCATTTTTGAGAAACAAAACAGTTCATTATGCTTGTTGTAATATAGACCTATGCGTACAACTCTACAAGATTTTGGTGACACTGAGGTGGAAACACTGGTGAACCACTACAGGCCTGTCCTGCACCTCTAGCATCGCTGCGGACAATGTGATGGACCAGTGGAACAATGCAACAATGTGTTTTTGACTCTTAAATATGTAATGTTATGTAATGTGGCTTTTCTGTGGCTCAGGTTGTTTGTCTCAAAACCATCCATCTGAACACAGCATGCGTACACTATAGGTGGGCTAAAGTTGCTTTTGTGGTTAGTTCAATCTTTGAGGCCAAGTTCAGCTCTTAGCATCAACATTTGTTCAAGTGCAATGATTTCTGGTTAGAATATTGGATTAATCAGATTAAAGTTTATTTTTAATTATACCTTGGTCTCTTTTCTAATTATGTATTGCAATATGATCCTATTATCTCAATGAAAAGTACTTAAACAGATGTATATTTAACACAAATGGACATTTATTATTTGAATATGTTGCTCTGAGTGGCCCCTGATGGTAGACAGAGAATAGATCTTAATGTCTAACACAATCACAGATTTTAGTGACTTCATCATCTGTTAGACCCATGTCATCTTTTGAAATTGAACAAAGCTTACTTCAAGTGTAATCCTGTCCTAAATCATGCAGATTTTGCATCTCTTTAACAACAGTCTGGATTGTTGAAGCTGGGAGAAGAAGCTGCCCGCAATCTTAGATAAAATAAACAAATATTACTGAGGAAGGTCTCACTGAAATTCTGTGGGAGTTCACTGTTTTCACTAGTTGATAGATCTGGTGAGATTTGGGAAGCATCCTCAAATACAGCGCCATGAGACTGAGACATTGTTTCCCTATACATATCATTTATGTTTTCTACAGAACATGCTCTTGTAAGAGGCCGAGAGTGTGTGGACCCAAAAGCAGAGGACGTGAGGCAATTGTTCAGTTTCCAAAGGGCAAACTCTTTTATTCCAACCAAAAGAAACCCGGCAGGGTCAAAATCAGAGCAGCAAATAATCAGGCGACAAAAACCAGTGGGACAGGCAAGAATCAAAAATCCAGGACGATCAAAACAGGTCATACACGGGGAGCAGAGATATATCAAAAAACGCGAGAGAGCTTGTACTGAAGTGACAAAGACAATCTGGCAGGGAAGAGCTAGTGAGGAGGGGTTAAGTAGAGAAGGGGACAAAACACAGGTGAAGCCAATGGGGTAATTAACTAAGGCGGGAAAAGGAACAAAGACCGGAAGTAAAGGTAACAGCAACACAGGAAAATCAGGATCTTCAAAATAAAACAGGAAGTGGATTTCACAGCACAGATCATGACAGCTCTGTGTTTGCGTGACATATGCGCAGTGAAGGATGATTTCTTAGTGAACACATTTTTACAACCAGTGATAGGACATGATACAGCTCGCCTTTCAACTACATATGGTAGTATGGGCTCTTTTACAGTTTGAAACTGGTGTGCGCACAGCGAAAGGGCACATTTCCAATCTGTCACAACTGCTCTACTGTGAGGCGGTTCGGGCACATTGTGAATACAGTAGAAATTAGTTTTTATGGTGGCATAGGTGCAAAATGTTTGTTTGCAGTCAACACCAACACACTGGAAAACACAATGTGGTTTATTTCTATGACCATTGCAATGCAGAACATAGCCTCTCAATATAAGCAGTGTTTTGCTGCAAAAACGGCATGTAATAATGTTAAAGATTGAAAGCACATGTAAGCTAGCTACTCACAAGCTGCAAAAGTTCAGACTAGTGGCTAAAGTCAGTTACAGCTCTTTGTGTGTGCTTGTCCTCTTTCACCCTACTGTCCAAGTGACCCCGCTCCTTGTCTTCCCTGCTCCTATTCCTTGTCTTCCCAGCTCCTACTCGTTGTCATCCTGGCTTTCGCCCTGTCTCTTCCGCGCTCCTCTGTCGTCTTCCCAGCTCCTACTCATTATTGTCCTAGCTCTCGCTCTTTGTCTTGCGTGCTTCTCTGTCGTCTTCGCAGCTCCTGCTCGTCATCATCCCTGCTCCTCTGCTTCTTGCCTCTAATTGTTTCTGCTCCTCCTAGTTACTCCTAAGCTCTGCTCCCACAATTCCAAGTCCACTCCATGCCAAGTGCTCCCGCGACCCACAATAATGTAGCATCCAATAACTGAAGAGTTCACAAACAGTGCTGCTCTGTGATTGGTACCTGCAGTTTGAAATTCTAACATGCCGTTTATTTCTCCTGAGAAAAGATAATCTACAGTTTAGTGTACAGACCTAAATTTACAGAAAAATTGGATTTGGTGGTTGATATGTCCCCTAGGGAGCTGCATATTCAACCACAGACTGTATAAACTAAAATTCAAAATATATTTTTGACCATAACAACAGCTCGACTAGCCTATAAGTCTCAGGTCTAAGCATGTTTATATTGATTCTCAACTTCTTCATGTTATCATCTAATGACAATATAAGTTTGTAAAATAGTATTTCATTAATTTAAGTTATTTAAAACAAGCCATATTGTAATTTTAACTGTATTGCGTTGGTTCAAATATTACAGTTTTTCTATGTTTACAATACAGTAACATACAAATTCTACAAGGAAACATGATCATTTTCACATATACAAACTGTAAAATGAACAATTATTAATTATTCTGTTTTTTACAATATATAGTGCTCTAAAATATACACTGATTTGTCGTTTTCCTCGTTACAGATTTTTGATGTCATGATTTTACGGTATATTGATATTAATTTGATATATATTGACATTTCTTACAGTGTAGCACTACAAGTGGAAACCAAAATGCTCATCATGTGCATATCTTACCCAAGCCCACTTAGATCAGTTTACAGCATCCTAAATAAGATGGAAGGACAACTTGATCAGCATTTGGTAATAGGTACAGTTTTACCCACCTGCTTGCAGGTTCTTGAGTTTCTGTACAAAAACAAAACATAGCCTGATCCATCTTGTTATAAAACTGAAACAGCAGCACCTTCAGCAAGGTGATGTAAACCTGGGCCTGGCTGTTAGTGTCAGTGTTAATAAATTCAACCCTTTTTTGCAATAAGGCTCATTGGCATGGAAATGGCTAATTCTGCTCCAAATAAATGCATACAGGCTCATAAAACAGCAATGGAGCATAAAGCAATAGGCAACCGTTACAGAACTGTTTGGGTTAATCCCATTGCATGAGCTTTATCTGGTTTTACAATATTTTCTGTCTAATTTGCACAGATTTGGCAGAAAACAGAAAGGGGTAATTCCAAAATACACTCAATAGACTTAACTCGCCGTCGTCGTCATTGTTTTCTTCTGCTTATCCAGGTCTGGGTCACAGGGGAAGCAGCTTCAGGAGGGAAGCCCAGATGGCCCTCACCCAAGCCACTTCCACCAGCTCCTCCAGGGGGATTCTCAGGCGCTCCCAGGCCAAGTGAAAGATATAATCCCTCCACCTGGTCCTGGGCCAGCCACAAGGTCTCCTCCCGGTGGGACATGGCCGGAACACCTCTAACGGGAGGCATCCAGAAGGCATCCTAACCAGATGCCTGAGCCACCTCAGCTGACTCCTTGTGGAGGGACAGTGGTTCTACTCTAAGCCTCACAAGTGTCTGAGTTTCTTACCCTATCTCTAAGGCTTAGCCTAGCCACCCTGCAAAGGATACCCATTTCGGCCATTTGTATCTGTGATTTTGTTCTTTCAATCATTACCCAAAGTTCATGGCCATAGGTGAGGATCGGCACGTAGATCGACCTTATGGCTCAGCTCTTTCTTCATCACAATAGATCGGTTAAGCGTCTGCATCACTGCTGACACTGCTCCGATCCGCCTGTCAATCTCCCGCTCCATCCTACCCTCACTCGTGAACAAGATCCCAAGATACTTGAACTCTTCCACTTGAGGCAGGACCTCCCCTCCGACCTGGAGAAAGCAATCTACCTTTTTCAACTGAGGACCATGGCCTCAGACTTGGAGGTGTTGATTTGCACCCCAACCGCTTCACACTCAGCCGCAAACCGCCCCAGCAAGAGCTGAAGGTCACTGCTTGACGATGCTAGAAGAACCACATCATCCACAAAAACAACTCTCACTGGAAACAAGTCTGACTTACAACTGGCTACACGGACCAAGCTCATGCTCCTTTAGTAAAGGGATTGGATGGCCCTTAATAAGGAACCATCCACCCTGTACTCTTGGAGCACCCCCCACAGGATTCACCTAGTGACACGGTCGTAGGCCTTCTCCAAGTTCACAAAACACATGTGGACTGGTTGGGCAAACTCCCATCTCCCCTCAAGAACCCGAGCAAGTGTGAAGAGTTGGTCCGTAGTTTGGGACGGAAACCCCATTGTTCCTCCTCGATCCGAGGTTCAACTATCGATCGGACCCTCTTTTCCAGCTCCCTGGTGTAAGCTTTCCTGGGGAGGCTGAGGAGTGTGATCCCCCTATAGTAGGAACACACTCCTCTGGTCCTCCTTCTTAAAGATAGGGACCACCAATGGCACTGCCCCCAAATTCCATGCAATGTTGCAGAGCCGTGTAAGCCAGAACAGCCCCACCACATCCAGAGCCTTCAGATACCCTGGGTGGATCTCATCCACTCCTGGAGTTCCGCCACCACTGAGTTTTTTTACTACCTTGACAGTTTGCCAGAACCTTTTTGGAACCGACCGAAAGTCTTCCTCCATGGCCTTACCAAACTC